CTTAAAGCCTGAGATTACAAAAAACACATATACTTCACTGTAACCATGGGGGACGTTGCACAAGCCGAGGTAATATCACAGATCTTAATGATATATTCGTAATCTAAGCAAAATTTTGAGCGAAGATGCATAATTAGTTTTCTATAGCTCTAGATCGAAGTGGTGAAGTTGGCTAAAATTGATTAAAAGTGGCTAGTTAATGAAAATAATCTCAACTTACATAATAGAATTCACCATATTTTGTTAAGGTGAGGAAGGGCTGGTAGCTGAATTTTCCCCCAAGGATATGTGTAGACCTTACATTTTCAATGAATTTCACAAAAATTGTTTTTCTCAAAGTATTTTCAACCAGGGTAGACTGAAATTTAAACCTCGCCTAAATCTCATCAGTATTACCAGCGGGACTTTGGCGGGGTGAAAACTGCTGTACATCATGGATACAACCTTTGGGAGGCAAGGATATTTGAAATTCAATAAAAAAATCAGGTCTACTCATATCATTATAAGAGAATGCAACTCTCATTTGTTAATCACTTAAACGAAATAGGGTAAATATACATCATATATATGATCTTCTGGTAGTTTTGAAAACTTACTTAAATACAAAAATTAATGTAGACATAATTTACGACCTAGAACTAAGGGATCTTATAAAAGTATCTAATGATTTGGTTAAATAAAAACACGAAAAAATATTTTAACCTTACATTATTTGGTCAGACCAAAAGCCAGCTCTAGGCAATGATTGTCCGATACTCCCACTTCGGATGATTTCCTAAATCTAAAATCAATTCTTAAATTTATTATCGTGATTCTTTCTTACTACGTAAGAAATATTTTTAAATTAGAATTAGGTCATTGAGGAATAGGCAGAAATAATCCAGAGCGAAAAGAAAAGTAGGTTATGTCAGAACGTTGTAAAAATGCCCAAAATTCCATTGGACATTACTTTTGAGAACATTTTATATATAGGTCTTAATTATGCTCTGTCAAATAGAAAGAACTTCACTAAAGACTTTTTTGTGTGGAAGTCAGTAAACCTTATTGGTCGATTAGCAGAACAAATAAGAAGTGAGATTGAAATACAAGTTGCCCCTTAATTAATAACCACGTAGAAGTACCGAACAAGAAGATGTGGATTAATAATATCTATAAAAGGCGTATGCATCACGAACAGATAGTTTTTAGGACAAACAAAGAAGGAGCGGTTCTAGTTATAGGCAGGGCAGATTATATATAAACGATGACGATGATATATAAACGACTTTGATAATGATATAATTATAATTAAGGACCCTATAGAAAAACGTACAGCCTGCAACAATACATTATTATTGGAAAATAAATGAACTTCTCCGACCCGATGCTAGGCCTCCTAATGCATATGGTCTGCCCTAGATTCACAAAGAAGAGGGCTTATTCAGGAGCATTGTGAACAATAAGGGTTGTGTGGTGCATGAAAAAAAACGATTTATTTGTGGTCAATCCAAGTAAATCTCAGGTTTACTGAAATTTTCAATAAAGAATTTGTATGACTTTATTATGTTGAAAGATGAGCAAATTTTAGATCAGGAAGATTGGATTGTAAGTTTTTATGTAGTATCGAATTATAAGAATATACCGGTAAGTGGGGCCATACAGGCTTGAGGATAGACATTAGGCCAGCTCCCAAAGATTATATCGGGAAATAAGATGAGCGAGGGGTCAATCATTAGGTAACTTATATGACCAAACTAGTTCTTTGGTTATGGGATCGTGGTTATTTTCAGTCAGATTTTTTCAAGAAGCACTCACTTCCGAAACTCTTAGTCAAATATATGGATGCTTATTTTGCTATCTGGCAGCATGGCAAAGATATTCTGGAACACTTCTCTAGGTTAATGAATAGATTGGATAAGACGAATGAATTTACTAAGGGATTGGAAAAGGACAGTAAGTTACCCTTTTTAAATGTTTTAATTGGTAAAGAGGGGAACAGACTCGGTAGAGTTGTGCAAAATAAATCCACAAATGCGGGTTTTCTTCTTTATTATGGTGTTGAGATAGGAGTAGTGCTGATCAATGAAAGTAAGTAGTTAGCGCTCGAACTAATATAAATCACCAGGATCAGGAGTCAGAAGGGCTAAGAAAAATATTAGTTGAGAATAGTTATCCGTTTGGACAAATTGTTAATAATTTCGGAATACTGAGAAATGTGATGAGAGGAAAACGCTATTTAGGACAAAACAGGGAAATATACATTTTTCGTCAAGGTTCCTAATGCTATAGTCCCGCCGGCTTACTAAAAAGTAAGGCAAATTACTGAGCAAACAGAACGCCAGGACGTGTATTAAGCAAGATTCACACTTTCCCTGCTGATGTCTTCTTTTACGGAAGGTTCAGCCGGGTTGTTGTGAGATGTGCTCATGTGGTAGTGTTTGTATGGGGAGGCTTGGTGACAATAGTTTCTAGTAAATAGCATTCTAGAACATCGGAACATGCTTGCGATTTTGCTCGGTAGTTCTTTGCTTGCAGGCGCCTGTGACATAATCTGTACTTCACTAAACTCGTCCATAATAACTAGACCGTAAAATTTCCCTTCGTTTTTCCTTTTCTACTAGAGAGTATTATAATTATGTGTTATTTTGAACTATGCATACCCAAAATGGGAACGAATCAGGTTGTAATTTTTATCAACGCAATTTAACCATTAAGTTGGATGCCTTTAAACAGACCTTATCTTAAATAGGCGGTTTG